TTAACCAATCCTAACTCTCATCTCTATCTTGTCCTGTTATGAATAAACCTTTAGATTTTAGATTCTAAAGGACTTTCAGCACCGGGATTTGTGGGTAAGATCTGACTTGTATATTGACCTGAGTCTGGGGCTTGGTCCACTGGGATATTGGTTTTCATAACCATTTGTCCCCATAACGTGTGGCACTGGTGGTAATACTGGGAAACTGGAGCGTCTAAGGAGATTGCTTGTGAGACTTGCGGTTAGCCAGTGGGATGAGACCGAAGTCCTCCTAGTCTGGCTGGTTTGGTTTGCCTTAGAGGTGGAAAAACCCCAGCCTTGGGCTGTAACTGCCCTGTTTTAGCAATTTGTCCTGAGTTGGCACTCTCAGTTGGGTTCCGCCAGAACCACATTGTCACACCCCCTCCCACACTCTGTCCAAACCCCTCAGCCCCAGCTCTGCCACACATCACCTCCAAATTGGTGCACATAACAAAATTCATTCTGCACATGGACGTAAAAAATTTAAGGGAACATTGGCTGGGACCCGATCCTGAAAGATGCTGCCTTCCATCACATCCAACTGAGTGCAACAGGAGCAGAGGATGGGGAGCCCCATATAGAATCAGGCCCCTGGTTCACAATAAGGCACTGTCGGTGTCTACAACAGTCTATCCCGTGGCAATCTCTGTGCAACGCCTCAATATTACAAGCAGACACACAAGAGGGAAATGATGACAGAGTGGGCGATACATAGGTAGGGGCCACTGCCAGACAGATTACTGTTGGATTGCGGCCCTCTCACTTGGGATCAGAGCAGCCATAAGGAAAGAAAAAAAATTGCCCCTAATGCATGTAGGAGTAACTACAGTTCCTTCCTGGAGGCAGCTGGCAGTGAACAAGATGGGAAAACATTGCCAACTGCCCAGGTAAGCAGCTTCCTCTCCTCCACCCATGCAGCAGACGTCAATAACTGCACATGCAGGATCAGGGCCTTCCTTTGTTGATACAGCTACGTTCTTGTTCTACTACTACAAACAAATACTGTTCACTGCTCTTGTTAACCCACCCCATACGTGTGATGATCTGACACCTCTTACAAATCTACCTGTGTCTTCTGGATACAAGAGTTTTATAATGCTATTGG